ACCCACCCAAAAGACAAACAGAGATGCACAGCCAAACATGCCATACAGCTGTGCAAGTCTCACATTGCCTCTTCTCCCTCCTCCTCAGCTCTCCTGAAAGCTGTAATCCTCTCCAGGTGGTGACAAGCATTATCTTTCCAGCCGGTATAAACGTGACAGCTCTGGAGCTGGCTGGTAACACATGTTCCTGTGCTGTAAGAGGGAGAAGGAAACTGCAAGACCAAACACGCACATGAGTCACACCAGCCAAGGGGAAATGTAAACTTTGGAAACAGTGCAAGTGCAAGCGATGGAATTGCGAGGGATCCTTTTCAGCTGCGTGCGTCGTTCATGGATGCTCTGGGTCATCCTGGGAGAGGCTGGTGGAAGAAATACCTACCTACTTCAGCAACATCTATCTCCTGGACCAACACTGCCACTGCCACCTCTGAATGGAGCTTTTTTGTGTGCAGGTTGTATGAGTGCAGAGCCCACGCTGCCCCAGTGATGACAGGTACACAGGTGAGTCACTGCCCAAAAGCAGAAGGTGACAAACACAGACATGAGTGGGACAGTTCTCATGAGGGAGAACTCCAATGATTTTAGTTTTCATGGTCTGGTGATTGCATTTTTGCATTTTATTTGATTTCTTTCTCCCTGCTGGTGTGAACTGATTGACTAAACACGGATGGGGTGTGATGTTGACCATGCACAAGCAGCTTTAAAATGAACAAAGTCAACAACTGGAGGAGAAATCCTGGGAAATATTTGCCCTTTCACTAACCCGTTAAGTTCCAGCAGTGGCTTTTAGCAATAACAGAGAAGGGTGAACTTGGAGCCAACATACATCTTTAAAACTTCCATGGAATGACTGGCTTGAGCTGCTGCCTGGCAGAGTCTGCAAGTCACCACTGTAAGCATTGTAAGATGCTTCTGGGTAGCTACACTAGGATCAGCAATTCCAATATGAGACATCTCCATCTGAGCAACTTGTCTAGACTCCCTTTACACTCAGTAGAAAGAAACAGGCTTGCTGAGACCATAATTAGTCTCCTGCTACCATAGTTGTCTACAGCAGATGAATCACGCTTTTCTTTGACTCTCTCTCCTCACTGGTTGTAGTGGGAATCTGGATGGTGGGCTCAGAGGGAGACATCTTCACCAGAAATGTTTAAAGTTAAGTCAACACCTACCACTTCCAGTGTATGTTTCATGTCGAGATCAGACCTGTGACTACTCAGCTCAGTGCCTTTTTGAATCCTGCAAGGATTGATGTGTCAGAAAGCAGACATTTCACTTTGCTCCCTATGAAACTGAAACACTTCTATATGTGACTCTGTACCTGCCAGTCATTGTCGATGTGGAGAGACGCACACAGCAGGGCTATTGACCAGCCATGCTGGGCCAGCTGTTCTCCTGCAGGGACTGATGAGCACTGAGTAACAGGATTTTTTTGGCAGCAAACACCTTTTCCCGGGAATTTGGGATAGCTCTCTAGCAAGCATCAGTGAACAAAGGTGCCACAGCCTCCACTCAATGTGCCTAGACTGGGTTTTGAATCAAGCAGCCTGGTGGTACCTGGCCAACTTCCAAGTTGCAGGGGTAGTTCAGAGCTTGAACTCAAACATTTGCTTAAATTTCCTGGATTAGGGTGCTATGGTCTATGGGCTTCACCCCCCCCTGGTTGACAGTCCTGTGTCACACTCTAAATAATTGCTGGGAATCCTTGTTTCTTCACATTACCTGGAGAACCTGGGACAAACACTTGACATGCTTGAAACACTTTGTGCAACACTGGAACAGTTTACTCACAGAGGTGGTAGAAGCTCCATCCCTGGAAACATTCAAAGTCAGGCTGGACTGGGCTCTGAGCAACCTGGTCTAGTTGAAGATGTTCTTCTTAACACAGGGGGGTTGGACTAGATGACGTTGAAAGGTCCCTTCCAACCCAAACCATTCTGTGATTCTATGATTCTGTGCCTAGAGTTAGCAGTATGAATCCAGTTCAGCTGTAACTTTCTCCTTGGTGCCCTTCCCTTCATGATAAATCAATGGATTTGATATGTAACTGTATTTTTTTATATTTCTCACTCTAGATACCTTACAAAGTGTTTTGGAATTGGCTTGTGGAAACCTTGGAAAGCTTTAATACAGAGTCAGAGTATTGATGTCATGGGACATCACTACGGAAGAGGAAAATTGCCCTGAAGCATCACTGTTTCTTTCTGACCTGGACAGTAAATACCAGAGGGATCACTGATGCTGTTTGGGTGCTGTCTTAATCACAAGCATAGGTCTAGACAAGGAGAATTCAGTCGGACTATCAAGTCTATTGCTAATGGTGGGGTGCTTGGAGGCATCTACAATCAAATCCAGCTCATACAAGCAACGTTCACTTGTATGCAAAGCCCAGGGCTGAGCACATGCACAACAGTTTCTGCTTGAACCTTCAAATATCACCTTAAAGGGAACTGTAATGGTACAGAAGGTACCGGACTGGCCCTTGGAGAAGGTATGGTGTTCATCATGTACTGGAGATGTAGGAATTAACCTGTTAGTGCAATACTGAGATACTAGAAGAAGCATAAGTACTGCTGTGTCACAGGAGAGTAAGTTTTCTTCTCCTGTACTTGAAAGTCAATTGAGTTTTAACATTTAGTTTTAACCTTGTACTTCAGTTTATTGAGGCAGAATTTCTCTACACAATTTTTGGGGTGGATTCTATGATTCTGTGATTCAGTTTGTTTTACATTCATGCCTAATGCAGTTTAAGCCCTGTTGGACTAGGTGTTTTATGGTTGGACTAGATGATTGTAATGGCCTTTTCCAACCAAACTATTCTATGATTCTATGATAAAATTTACAAGGAGCTTGTGATATGAATGGGGACCTACAGGAGATCTGTATCCCTTCAGACCAACACTGAGCATGACATTAGATTTCCTATGCCCTCTCAACTTGCACTGAACTTCTTTGTTTAAACAACTACATAGACTCTAAGCTTTTTGAAAGCTAGTAATTTTAGGTCTGGAAACATCTACAGAGAAAACATGGAACTGGGACTACCAGATGAGACAAGGTATCAGACTTTGTGATAGGTTCAGGATTCAACTGAGTTGCATCAAGAGAGAGATGTAGTCCCATCTAAGATATCCTAGAAAACCCAAGACATCCACACGAGGCTAACAGATGGGGTTGCCCTTCTTTTTAGGAAGGCCTGGACCTTTCTTAAGTTCTGTGTCTTGAGGACAGTGTGATTATCTTGAACTCCCTGGGGGATCTCAGATGGCACTGTAAGCTTAGCTGAGATCTAGCTCTCCACTGACTACTCCATATAGAACCCTATTTCTCAGACACCAGACTCCCTGGAGGATCTCAGATGGGACTGTAAGCCATTGTGAGGGCAGCTTAGCTGAGATCTAGCTGTCCAACTCCATATAGAACCCTATTTCTCAGACACCAAAAATTAGACGTACACATATAGAGCTGAACCAAGTTCTTAATTTGAGTGAAATGAATCTTGTATCTGGAAATGGTTTGATTGGCCATGAGTTTAAGAAATTCATTCTTAAAATGATAACAGTATTAATTATTTGATTTTTAATATTGATTCTTTGAACATGTCTGCATGCACCTTCACAAACCTGGCACAATGCTCCACACATACTTTTCACCATACAATTTAAGGCATTTTGTTTTCACCCTCTCTTTATTTTTGTTGCTGTATTTTTTTTTTCTCCCTGCAAATTATTGATAAAATGGACTGTTTCCCAAAGAGGTATACACATGTATGCAGCTGAGGCATGGTCAGACTTCTCCTGGCATTAGTTGGGCATTTATTCAGAAATTTATATATTGCCCAAGGGGAAAGAAGATATAAACCTAGTATAAAATAGTTGTTAAATGAAGTTTGCAGTTCTATTGTGATTTGTAAAGTCCAACCTCTCCAGTAAATGCTTGAGCCTCTTCCAGTTGTTTGCTGCAGCACAAATACACAAATCTTTTCCACCTTAAAAGTAAAATTTGTTTAAATATTACTAGTTGTCTGCAAGAGCGAGGCACTGAGCAACTGCAAATCCTATCAGCTTCCAAACAGGGCCTCCTACAAAATTATCTGAGGGATCCCAGATGATTGTAAAGTGCTTAGATACCATCATTGGCATAGTAAAGGTAATCACAAGGAATTGAACTTTCCTTGTTTCTAATTTGATCAATGTTGTATTCAACCACTTCTCACATACCTGACAGGTCAATTAACTCTTCTTTGTTATCTACCGCTACATCACTACCTACTACAATGACGGGCACAATGCAAATAGATTGGTGGACTGGAAGAGATCTACTGGGATGACTTTTCTGTATGTTGAGGATTTCCAGTGAAGCGAGGAATGATTTTAACCTCTACTAAAGAAAAACAGAGAAAGCAGGGAAAGACTTTGGTATCTTAGACCAAAGACCTTTTCTGGGTACAGAGAAGGTAGGGTAGGATAGGGTAGGGTAGGGTAGGGTAGGGTAGAGTAGAGTAGGGTAGGGTAGGGGGTAAAATGAATGTATACCTCTGTGGACTCTGACCAGACTTTGGCAATGAATCCAGATTTTGTCACGTTTCTGTGGATTGGCAATCTTTCCAGGAAAATGGCATGCAACGGATGAAAGGCATCCTGAAGTCACTCAGATATGATGCCCAGCAGAGCCACAGATCACTCAAGCAACAAACAGCATTGCTTAAAGGGTGTGAACAAGAAGGTACCACAAACAAAACAGCCTTCCCTTTCCCCAAACCACTTTTCTCTTGAAATCACTAAATCTTAACAAGTTTACTAGCCCTCTAGAAATGAGGGCAGGTAATTGCAACGTTACTCACAGGATTCAAGATCAAGTTTACCATATTTAACTCAGAAGAAAAGCCAGTTATGATGGCTCAACTCACTGGAGATACTGCAATATGTAATGAAAATATACTTTAAAAACCAAAAAGAAATAAAAGGAAGAAAGAAAAAAGCAGTTTTTGATAAGCAGTTCTAGAAGTCCAGGTCATCCTGGCCAATCTCATCAGAGTCTTCTTTCTTTTTAGAGGCCTGAACTTTATCAGTATGTTTAACCTCCTTTGGATCTATATCTTCAGCATCTGCCTGGTCCTCATCTCCCAAAGGATCAGTGCATGAAGATCCTTTATCCTCTTCTTCCTCACTATCAGGATACATCTGTGAGGGTTTGCTGCTCTCATCACTTTGAACCTCTCCATTTGAATGGTTTTTCGTGGAGTTGTTGTCATCTTTGCATTCCTCTTCACCTTCATCTTCAGATCCCTTCTGGGATTGCTGTGAGAAGTTTCCCACAGAAGAATAACAAGAGAAGGCGGCTGCTTTGTTCAGAGTCTCTAGCTTTTTGCTGCTTTCTTTGCATTTGGCCTTTGATGCTTTCTCAGAAGTCTTGTTGTTGCCTTTGTCTTTGTGTTTTTCATGTGCATTGTCAGGGTCATCACTGGTAGGTTCCTCATCACACTCATCACATTTGTCACCTCCTTCACTGTTGTTATCCTGCTCAGCTGAACATGCCTCATCTTCTGACTCTGGATTTGCATCTCCCACTGCTTCAACTTCATCCTGCTCAGCTTCCTCACTTCCTTCCGCAGCATCTCCTTCAGGATTGTTGTCAGTTCCAGAGCCACCAGCATCTCCTTTGCATTCAAATGTCTCTTCCTCATCATCAACCCCTAAGTCCTCATCCTCTGGCTCCTCTGTTTCCTCAGCTTCATTGTCAACTTCATCTTCAGCTTTCAACTTCTCTTCAGCTTCCTGCTCTTCAGTTTGAATTTCTTCTTCTTCTTCTTCCTCTTCCTCATTTGCTTCCTCCCCCTCTTCCTTTGTTTCTTCCTCATCTTCTTTGGCTTCCTCATCTTCCTTTGTTGCTTCTTCCTCTTCTTGCATTTCTTCCTCTTCATTCTTGTCTTCCTCTTCATCTTTTGTTTCTTCTTCCTCCTCATTCATATCTTCCTCCTCTTTTGTTCCTTCTTCCTCCTCCTTCATGTCTTCCTCCTCATCTTTTGTTCCTTCTTCCTCCTCCTTCATGTCTTCCTCTTCATCTTTTGTACCTTCTTCCTCCTCATTCACGTCTTCCTCCATGTCTTCCTCTTCCTCTTTTGTTTCTTCCTCCTCCTCTCTCACTTCCCCCTCCTTTTCCTCTTTTGTTTCTTCCTCTTCCTCATTCAATTCCTTTTCCTCCTCTTTTGCTTCTTCCTCCTCATTCATGTCTTTCTTCTCCCCTTCTGTTTCTTCCTCCTTCTCACTCATTTCTTCCTCCTCCTCCTCTTTTGTTTCTCCCTCCTCCTCTTTCTCTTCCTCTTCCTCCTCCACTTTCTCTTCCTCCTCCTCTTTTGTTTCTTCCTCCTCCTCCTCTTCCTCTTCCTCCTCCACTTTCTCTTCTTCCTCCTCCTTCTCTTCCTCATCCTTTATTTCCTCTTCCTCCTTTGTTTCTTCTGCTATTTCCTCCTTTACTTCTTCATCTTCTTTCTCTTTTGTTTCTCCATTTGCCTTCTCTTTTGTTTCATCCTCTTCTGCATTCATAATTTCTTCTTCCTCTTCTTCCTCATCTTTTTCTTCCTCTTCTTCTTCTCTTTCTTTAATTTTTTCCCCCACTTCTTCTGCTTCTTCCTTTTCTTCTTTGGCTTCTTCATCTTTAACCTCATCCTCCATCTCACAGTTTTGACTCTCTGATATTTCAGATCCTTCTTCAACTCCCTTCAGTGTTGAGCTGCCCACGCCATTTAATTCTGGCTCCTTTTCTTCATTGCCCTCCACTTCTGTTTCACTTGGCTGAAGTTCACCCTCATCATTTTCCTCATTTGGATTGCCATTTTCTGCTGCTTCCTTCACAGAACTGCTGGGAATTGTTTTCATGTCCTGGGCTGCTTCTGAGACACAGGCTTCGTCATTATCATTTTTCTTCAACCTCAGGATTTGCTGTAAATCAAATGCTTTCACAACTGGGGCATTGGTGGCCACCACTGGGTTTCTTGTGGGCTTGGAAGCCATTTTTTTCCTCACACAAGAGTCACATGGGCAGTATTCATCCTCACTTTTTTGTTTACTAATACTGGCCTCAAAACTGGCACTAAATGATATATTTTCATCTACATCGAGTGATAAGTCTGATGCGTCCTCTGCCCTACTCTGTGTTCCATTCTTGTCACTGAAGAACGACTTTTTATGCATAGTCTGCAATCGTCGTCTCCTCTGCTCAGTTTGGAGTGATAACTCACGTTTCAGTGGTTCATCTGGAGGTCTTGGTATCTTCCCTGCTCCCATTTTGATCTTTCTCAGCTCCTTCTCTATGCTTTTTTGTATCCTTTTACTCACTTCCTCCTTCAGCTCCAGTATCATTTCATCCATCTGCTGGTTGTCCTGCAGGTTCCACCTGACTTTGAAGTCATTCATGGCACTGACATAGTGAGCCATGAACTCCTTCTCAATTTTCTTGAGCAGTCTCAGGACCCAGATTGGATCTGGGTCCATTGAGTTTTGCTGGATGAGGGATGTGCCCACACTGGTGGCTGTATCAACTTTGGACTCTGGGTCACATGGAGACTCTTTTTCAAGCTGCTTTTCTAAATCAGCTTTCAGTTCTGTCCCACAATCCACCTCACTGGCATGTGTATCATCAGTAGTAGCTAGCTGAACAGCTTTCTCTGCAAGATTTTCTTTCAGAAGTTCACCATTCACAGGTTCTCCTTGTTCTCCATTTTCATCTACTTTGCTGTTTTTTTCATTTTCATTTTCTCTCTCTTCCTCCTTAGCATTTTCACAGCTACTGCACTGATCCTCCTTATTCTCTTCTGCCTCTTGAATTGGAGAGTCCTCTCTAGTAGGCTGTGCTTTTTCCTCACCTTTTGATTTTGAGCAGGTTGTCAAAGGTTGGGATGGCTGCTCTTTCTCTTTATTTTGCTCCTTAGTCTCAGTCAATTCAGTTCCAGTCTTTACTTTTGCCACTTGTCCAGCTGATTTGAGTTCAGCAGTTTTCTGTGCCATTAAAGTGCAGTCCCTGGCACCAGCTGTAATCTCTTCTCCTGAGCCACCAGAACCACTGCTAACATCAACCCCAGAGGAGGACATGGGAGTGAAGTTATAATTTGCAGATTTTGTGGCTTTAAACCCAGAGACTGTCTTTGCCTGCTCAGTTGCCTCTTGACTTGAACTTGGACCACTCTTTTCAGATGTACATCCAGACCACAGGGCTTGAAAAATATTTAGCAGCTCCATATACCTTGTCTTATTCAAATGTTTTGATTTGTCTGATGGATCTTCTGCTTCTTCATCAAGGAGTTGGAGACTGGCAAGACAAGTAATCAGAATATTTGCAGAGTTACTGAGTTTTCTCCCCATAGTGGGGGACACTTCAGGCAAACTGTTTGAACGGTCAAATTTTGTTTCATGTTTTGAACTGAGCAAGGCCTTCATGATCTGGACAGAAGTCTGGACAGAGGTTGGCAGGTCTCTTCTGTTGTTATTTTGGCTGGATGTAACTGACTGGCTGCATTCTGCTTGGTCGGCCTTGGCAGCTTCAGACACAACCTCAGACATTTGTTCTTGATTCATGCATTCTTCAGCCTCTTCATTAATAGAAGAGCCTTCTGCTATCTCTTTTTCCACTTCATCTTTTGCCTCATTTTCATCTTCCTCCACATTCCTTTTCTCAGCTTTTTCATCCTCTGCGATTTCCTTGGCATTTGTACAGTGTGGTACCTCAGTGGTTGCCTCTATACATTCCACTTCTGCATCATCCTCCATTTCATATTTCATAAGCAATGTGTCCGAAGGGATTTTACTTAGCCATTCTTGCACAACTTCTTCTGGAGATGTATTTGGTAGAGTAGATGGCATTAAATCATTCCCTTCCTCCTGCATGCCCATGCCTTCTAACTCTTCCTCCACTTTTCCGCTGCAAGAGTCATCAATCTCTTTATTCTTCTGATCATTTACTTCAGTTGCAACAGATTTAGACCCGTAGGAAGTTGCTATGGAGGATTCTATGGGTTTTTTCTGCTCTTTTCCTGTGGTCAGCACTGACTCAGTACCTATGCTGCTAACAGAGGAATCCTTCAATGTGGTTGGCTGTAATTTTTTGCTGTTTGGTTTCCCTTTTGGTGGGGTAGGGCAATGTATACTACATACTGACAAGGTCTCAGACAATGATGCTCGGCTGGAGTTTGACATCTTCACACGAAGATGTCTAGTTTTTATCTGCCTTGATTTTGAAGACTGAGAAACGTTTGATTGTGAACACCTGTCATCACTTTCCTGGGATATCTGTGTCAACAAGCATGTATCTTTTACTTCTGACTTTGAAGAGATTCTTGAAGAGACACTTGCAGGATTTCCATTCCTAATCTTAGTCTCAGTTGAGAGGTCACCTTTTGAACATACACTTTCACTCATACTTCCATGTCTTGAAGAATGGGCCTCTGAATTAATCTTGGAATTACCCCCTCCAGCTTGTCCATTAGGGCTTGAAACACTTGAGCAGATAGATGATGGCTTGCTATTTTCTTCTCTATGGCTTCTCTTCTTTGAGCCTTTTGAGGATGCACTGTAGGCATTGCTGACACTTTTCAAGCTTTTCTCCTCAGTAAAACCTGCAATTGCTTCTACTTCACTATTAGATGAAATGTTTGAGTGAAAAGATCCTGAGTTATGAGACGTGGGGTCTCCAATTGATTTTTTCTTGATTTCACATGAGCTTTTGGAGTAATTAGATGCCCTGCTGCATGACCTCAGATCATCTGCATGTAGAGAATTATTCTTTTTATTTAGAGTGGACTCAAGTGAAGACACAGACATTTCAGACTGTGCATCCAAATGAATATGGCTGTGTTTGCTCTTTTTGGATCCTCTGGAAGAGCAAGAGGCGTTGCACGGAATGATCTCATCACTGTCACTTCTCTTGCTGTTCCTGTCACTGGCTCTGGAATGGGGAGTTCCATGTGTAGAGCATCGCTCACCTTCACTGTTCTCATCTCTAACTGATTGTCTGGTCTTTGTTTTTGCTGACACTGAGCTGACTTCATTGATTTCATTTTCTTCTTGTTCTGCTTCAACCTTTTCAGCCTCTTTCTTAGGACAGGACTCACTGGAGAAGGAAGAGACCACTGCATTGTCATCAGAGTGGACATCCTGTTCACTCTTTGCTCTTGGTGTAGTACGCTTACTAGATTTGCTGTGCACACTGTTGGCAGGAGTGGAACCCCTAGTGTTATCATCTTGATTTGCCTTCTGAAGGCTGGAGGAGGAGATGCTCCTACCCACGCTACTTGTTTCCTCACATACATTCTTCTGGCTCTGTCTGGTCTGCAGAGATGATCTAGATATGGCACTCCCAACTCTGATGCTTTCAACCTCTTCTACATCATCCTTTAAGCACTTCACAGAGGAAACTTCAAAACGATTTTCATCTTCATTTTGTGAATTAGTTTTGCTGGCCCCATGGTCTTCAGGAGCATCTTGAGTATCGAGGTTGTTTTCACAGCTTGAATGTGACACTAAGCCCAAGGATGAGTGTCTCTGACTATGGCTTGTGCTTGTACGAGTGTGATCTTGCTGGTCTTCTCCATTGGAAGCACCTGTAGAAAAATCACTTTGACACGTACACTTTTTAGTGGATCGATATGCCACTCTGTTCTCTATAGTCTCTGAGTAGGATGAGGATTCTTGCACAATGTGCTCAGAGATTTCCTCACTGGATGTGGTATGGAGGCTATCCACAGAAGCCATTTTTTTGTGGACTATTCTCCTTCGGGAAGACGTGCTGGAGCATGATGACCGTGTGTGCCAGGTGCTTCGTACACGAGGCTCTTCCCTCTGGGATGAGTGCATGGGATTTTTCCAAATGTCATAGTCGTGGTGTTTCTTGCCACAGTTATGACAATGAGCCTCATCACATTCGGATTCCTCAAGTTTGGACATATAAGAATCAATATCACAGGGATATGATGACTCATCTGCCTCTGAGCTGACTTCTGGGTTCATTTTCTGTATGGGCTTTACTCCACTGTCCTCTACACCTGACTCTTCACAAGGCATCTGGTTCATCAGATTGGACTTCTTGATCTGGGTGGACCATTGCAGAGTCTCATCATTTAGCAAGCGGAAGCGAACTTTCATCTCAACGGACAGGCTACCATCCTCGTTCACATGTACCCGTTTTTCTATGTCATCATTGACCAAGGAATGGACCAGGTCCCCAGGTTTTGGATGAGAACAAGTGTTTAAGAAAGGTGCACCATTATCTGGTGAGGCAGCAAGACCATTAGGATATGACTTTTCTGATGATAAAGAAAATCTCGTTGACCTATTGCTTGATGATGATCTTGGATGGATAACACTTTTTTTGGCTTTCAGTCCAAAGTTCACTGGAATTTGAAAGAGGTAAAGAAAAGAAAGATGGAGAGAAAAGTTAACTCACATAAAGATGACACAAAATATACAGATCAAACCTTCAAACTAATGAATACTGATATTACAGCTAAGCCTATGCTGGTTTACATAATTTGAAAATTTGGCTTTGACTAAGTGATGGCCATAAATGTTCCATTTTTAATAAATAGTCTCTATTAATATCTTCTATACCTTAATTTTATTATTTTTCTAAATTTAAATTGAAACACCAATACTTTTTTTGTTCTATTATGTGTACGTCAGGAAGAAAAAAAACATATATACAAAGCAATTTAGTCTCAAAGTTTCTGTAGTTTATCACATTGTAAATTTCCCTTTATTTAACTGTGTGTGCAAGTTAAGATGTACAAGTTTTCATCCTTCTCATTCAGCTGGGGAAAAATACATGGTGAAGTGGCCCTCTTCCTTAGTTAGAAGTCAAGTGTCACACGTTTATTGTGCATCATCCACTTCTCCACTCACATGTCAGGAAACACAGGTGTGGCCATTTAGACCAGAGCAGCACTCAGTTCCTGCAGGGATGTGCCCCTATGAATAATTTAAAAGCTTATTGAAACATAAAAAACAAATGGAAAAGGCATTGTAAGCTGGTGATAGTTACAAAGAGAAATAGTGGCAGTTATAGAAGAAATCAGTGATAGTAAGGGAATTTTAAGAATTGTAATCCGAAACACATCTCTAAGGCCCAGTGCATTGGTCTGCATAGATTTATTGAGGTCCTACACCCTTCATTTCAAGCAGAGAATGTTGCTATCATGCTGTCTTGCAAGATATGTATCTATCTTGTTTCTGATATGTGTGTTTGTTCAAAACTTACTTTTATATATCTAGACAACCACATGCCTCTGTAGGTATATGGATATATAGCTGAATAGAGAGCATTTTAGGAAGGAAATGTTCAACAGGGAGCACACCAACCGAGATCAATAACACATGAAATAATAGCTTCTATCTAGTCATCCTTATGCATTTGAACTGACATATTTGCTCAGTCTCTTGATGGACAAAGCTTCAGCATATTCCCAATTCTTCCTCCAATTTTTTCTGTCTCAGGCAATGAGTGGGGATGCCTGTGTCCTTAAGTTTCTACAACTAGCTGCCAACATATGAATGAATCTTTCATGGCTCCTGATATTTACAGTGGAGAGAAACAAGTGCATCTCCAGAGCACACTTCATTTCATCCTGAAAGAAATATGTAATGTAGGTGAGATTAATTGCTCTGGAAACCATGAATTTCTCTTCATATGCTACTGAGGGTGGCTGGATTAATTACCTGCAACTGTAGATAACTCGTGATGAAGTGCCTCAGAAATATCATCCCAAATAAAGGAGAACATGCACTTTCCTGAAGGTAATCTTTCCATAAAAACATGCTTTGTTCCCAAAGGGCTACACTGCAGCTGTAACCTACAGGAGAAACTGAGTCTCCTGCCGACAAAACCAGGGCATCCTCTGGTGCAGGCATATGCAGAAGTACGGGCGTTATATGACAGACAGCCAAGGGGATAGAGGATCCGTGGGAAATCTCAAGGGTTTGGGGAGTCTCAGAGGCAGACACAGGAAAGGAGGGAGTTCTGGAAGGAAAAGGAGACACAGAGATATGAAAGAGGAAGGGAAGTCAGCCAGACATGGGGAGCATGTAAAAGAAAGACTAGAGGGTGTAGGGAGGAAATCCTAGAAGGAAACCAGAGAAAAAGAAGGGGAGGATGGAAAGGCCTGGGAGGCAGCGAGAGGGAAGTACATTTTGTACATGAAATCTGTGCATTGGTTCAGTACAATAGGTGCCTGGAATCTCCATGTTGTGGGACGCAGGCCTGGAGATGACTGTGCAATATGCCCCAGAGTTTTTCTTACTTTCATTGTTTTCATTGACATTGTTGCCATTGGAACGGGGAGTCAGGTCGGGCAGCTTCTCTACCGAGTGTTTCCTCAAATTCTCCATAGATACAGGTTTAAATGGCTCCCGGCCAACACACACCAACATGTTGGGGCAGTGAAGCAGAGCCTGCATGCTGTCGATCTAGAAAGAGAAGAGGAAATGGATCACCATGAGCCAATAGAGCAGACCTAGATTCTTCCAGGCCCAGAATCAACTGACATTTTAGTTGTCACCTAAAATAAAACAAACATGTTCCTGGAGAAGTTCGGAGTCTACTAGAGCTTGTTGGCAGATTGTGCTGCAGTATTCTTGCATTGAAAGAGAAGATTTGTTGTGTTTTAATTAGATCTCCTAAGACAGGGAAGGGGTAGGAGAGATTGCCTAAGGGAGAAGATATCTCATTTATTACATGGTTTCACATCTTCTGGGAAAGATTTAGGCAAGGTCAATATGGTAGTGAGGAAGGGGGTGGAAATGAAGTTTGAGTTTTCATTACAGAGAATTATTCTCTTTAATTCTTCTAATTCCTGTATGGGACAGCAATTATTACCTGGTCAATGCTACATTCCAGATCGACCATTAGTTCTCTTACTTCCTCTGCTCAGAAAGAGGCAAGAACTGTGACTTCTCCTAATAATACTTACCCTAAATACTGCCTCAAATATTAACTCAAATGCTGGACAATGTGCGACATTGTCCCTTAGTGTGGGAAGTGACAGTGAAGGTCTCTCTGTTCCTCCATGAGAACCCAGGCTTATACACTGCCTCTTCATCTTCACTGCATGACCTGTTTCTGGATTACACACCAAGTCCTTCATCTAGTCATCTACATCTAGTAACAAGGAACAGGGCTAGATGTGGCAGAAAATCACCTTTACCCAAATACAACATTTACGTGGGATCTAAAGGAGCAGAAATCAGTATTGTGATGAGCACTAGATGGACATAGCCTGGACCTCTCTTCCATTTTGCTTTTGCAATCCCTTATTTGTAGCACTGAAGTTATGATCCCAGGTAAACCACTTGTTGGCTTCTAAAGGGTTCTCTTGCTGTCTGAGAGGGCTTTAGAGTGGCCAGCATCTGGCAGCTTTGTGTTGTCAGGGGTCTCCACAATCCAGCTAGGATGCTTTTTCCTCCTCAGACTGCTACATCAGAACATAGAATCATAACATTGTTTTGGTTGGAAAAGATCTTTAAGATCATTGAGTCCAACTGTAAACCTAACATTGCCAAGTCCACCACTAAACCATCTCCCTACGCACCACATCTACACATCTTTTAAATATACCCAGGGATGATGAAGCCCACCACTTCTTTTGGCAACCCATTCCAATGCTTGACAACCCTTTAGGTGAAGAAATTTTTCCTAATATCCAATCTAAGATTCTCCTGGTGCAACTTGAGGCCATTTCCTCTTGTCCTATCACTTGCTACTTAGGAAAAGAGACCAACTTGCACAATCTCTAGATCAACACCCAACACCTCTAAAGTATATGAGGACTCACCAATGAGAAGTGACCATGCAATGGGCTACCAAGATGTTAGCTAGCACCTGGGGTGGGCTGAGTACTATCTTGCCTGTAAGATGCACCCTGACCTCACTGTGTCACTTAATCATCAGCCCTTTAACTAGCAACCGAGTATGGAAGACAACAAATCTCAGAGCAGCTGTGATGACAGTTCTGCAGTTGTCACATGTGCCTGGCATAACAGAGAGTGAAGAAAGGACCTTATTCTCTACATATTGCTAGTGCAAAGGAATGAAGATTCAAGCCCTCTTCAGAGCCCAAGCCCTTAGTTTGTGAAATGCCTCTGGGGTTTTCTGAGATTAGTTGATACCACTAGGGCTTTGAGAGGTACTAAGATAATAGTGATGGATCTTGTGCAAATAAGAGGAGGGTGAAAGCATGAAGAGTGAAAGAACAAGGCAGAGACAGAGAGAATCACATTCAAGATCCAGTTAAATACTTCTGGTAATTTTTCTTACAGTAAAGCATATGGCATCGACTTGAGTGGGAATACACCAAAATCCCATCATCTTCCTATTATTTTTTTATTTACTTTGTGCTACCACAACACTTGGAAGCTGAGGCCCAATGAGTTTGGTGCTATAAAACCCCAGAGCAACGGAGGTTCTTGCTCTCTAAAGCTTATATTAAGCACCACTGTGTGTAAAGCAACAAAAGTGCTGAGTCTATGATACAGAAACAGAAAATAACCCACAAATCTCAGTATATCTATGTCTACTGCTTGTCATTTGTCAATAAATCCACCATTAGTCCATACATTTCTAAAGGAAACATCTTTCTAGCTCACTCAGAAAGTGTATAGAAAGCCTATAATTTAATAAAAGACAAATTCTGAGTAGGTTTATCCCACCTACATATTTCTTTTCCTTTTTTACTTTCTGTTCTTTTTTATTCCTTTAGTGAGATCTTTTGCTGTGTCTTCATACCAGTATAAAAAAAGGTGAGGGTAGGAAAGAAGAAAGAGAACGGGAAAAAGGAGAGAAGAAAGAAAAATAGACATAAAATCTCTTCCAACCCTAGCAAAAAAAACAATCTGTCTTTAAACTCTCACCAAGTTTAGGAATTATTCTTATTTGTAAATGATGTATTTTCAGTGAAATCTATTTTTTGTCCAGGACATTTCCTCACATGGTACTGTGTCTGTACATAGATACTTCAATCGCACTCATCACCACTGTGTTGTGTGTGCAGAAAATAGATAGTGCCAATGACACAGCTTCAGGAATCAAAGGAGCTGAGCCAGCCAAGTTATTGAATTTATATATAGTGCATAAACCAAATCCTTTCATATGGAATAAACCTGTGTTATGTGACTTAAAAATAAAGGGTCTGTCATGTAGTGTTCCTGGGATCATCAGCTCTTTAGTAGTGTTTATACCTATAACATAGTTTTTCTTCCTAATACCTTGCAAAATTAATGTCTTTGAATTAATAATGACAGAACAAGGGGAAATGGCTCTAAATTGAAAGAGGGGAGGTTTAGATTAGATATTAGGAAGAAATTCTTTACTATGAGGGTGTGAGACACTGGCCCAGGTTGTCCAGAGAAGTTGTGGGTGCCTCCTCCCTGGAAGTGTTCAAGGCCAGGTTTTGAGCAACCTGGTCTAGTGGAAGGTGTCCCTGCTGATGGCAGGGGGGTTGGAACTGGATGATCTTTAAGGTCCCTTCCAACCCAAACCATTCTAGGATTCTATGATTCTATGAAATGCACCTAAATTTCGGAAATCAGTACTTCATAATGCTTCATTGTTAAAAACATTTTGGTATTTGTAAATACAACTGAATGTTTCCTAAGGGTTAAATAAATAATTTTTCTCACATCGGTTTGGTTTACTGCAACATCCATTCTGTCAGGGTAGTAGAGCACTGTGCCATTGGGATAATAGCTCATCGCAGAGCTTTCCCACACAGCAGCATGAATCCCATCCTCTCAATAACATGTCATTGCCTGGGCTATAAAGAGGACATCTGTCTTCAGGGCAATCAACATGGCACTTTTTACTAATGCTAAATTATCTCTCAACAGTATGACCCCTCTTAGGTGTTTAGCAATTTACAGCTTGCTCAGTGCATCCCAGGGTGAGGGCCATACATTCCTTCTCAGATTTGCTTCTTTTTTAAGGGTTGTATAAAAATTATTCCTAATATGAAGGGATCATATCCTGAAGCTGCAGGAATTTCCAGTGTCTACTGTTGCTCCTCAACATGCTGAGTGAAATACTGGCCCCATTTCAACCAGTGGCAGGATTTTCCCTGGATTTTCTGGAGTCTACATCACACTGTTTACAATTAGGAAACAAGATGGAAACTGGGAACTTTCTTTTGCTATCCTTCAAGAGAAGTGGTTCTGTTCTTCTGCTTGGACATAACAACCACCAGACAAACAGTTATATGACTTGTGAAACTGTATTTTCCATGCATGTTTCTGACATTGATTTTCATGCTGGGGGAGGAAATAGGATATCAAACAGAAAACTGGTGAAGTGGTTTGAGAGATTATTGAAAGATTTGGCAATTACACCATGGCAAGAAGCAGACACAGTAGCTATTCATATTTCAGGATCACATGAGCCCCAGAGAAAGAGATGAATTATTAGAACTGATTAAATTATGAGTAAATAATCTGATGTTGAATTGCTGTTCCAGATAGGCAAGACCTGGAAATGTTCTTGCAGAGAGGACAGTGAATTCCATTGTCTGGGATGTTGTTCAAGGCTGAGTTGTGCCTCCCTGAGCACAAACCTAATCTAGCTTTGAGGATTTATCTTACTCTACAGTTATTTGTTCCAGGACCTAGGTTTTGTACAGTGCTTTTTTTAGAATCATAGATTCATTTAGGCTGGAAAAGACCTTTAAAATCACTGAGTCCAAGCATAAAACTATCACTGCTAAGTCCAACACTAAACCATGTCCCAAGTGTCACATCTACACATCTTTTAAATACCTTCAGAAATGGTGACTCCACCACTTCCCTGCACAGCCTGTTCCAATGCTTGACAACCCTTTCAGTGAAGAAATTTTATAAGCAACTTCTATAAAGGGACATATTGTCATCATTGCCCTCATCTAAGTTGCACAAAACAAGTAACAGGCATCCTTCTGCAAATGTTGAAAACAAAAGACAGGAAGATAATAACTAGGGTTTGCTTCAGATTTTGGGCATCTAAATGTTAGGTGTATAGGACTGAGCTAGTCAACCAAGGCTGTATAGTTCATGTAGAAAGGGCAATTCCTGCACTGGACATCTCTCCTACTATAAGACAAATCATGCTCCGGTGATGCCTCTTTCTCTCTTGGTATAAGAGCGGACAGGAAGATAAGGGTTAAGCAAACTAGGATTTGCTTCAGATTTTGGGCATCTAAATGTTAGGTGTCTGGTGATGCCTCTTTCTCTCTTGGTATAAGAGCACCTTGCAATGATTAGAAGAGATATAGACATCTAAACTAAAGCATATTAAATCCAGCCAACAAGAACACTCAATAGTTATCAGGAAGTATCATCTGAGTTGAATAATGAATATCAGTCTCCAGGGTCCCAGGCCTGTGCTCCTTCTTCAAAGTCATATTATTTCCATGAGTTGCTGCTGTTAATTTCTGGTTTAGGAATACAGT